AGTTGCGATAAACAATATTGCCCCTTAATATATAATCATAATAAAACACATACAAGTAGGCCTACACACGTTCAAATTTCTCCCTTTTAAAAAAAAATTAAGAATATTTAGATACTGGTCTTGCTCTTGCACATGTTTACATAGAAAAACAATGAAAAAAAGGTGTTCTCTATGAAGTGGTGAAAGTGCTCTGTTTCGCGCTGTCAGGTTTATGTTTGCACCAGAACAGTGGATGCTGGTTTTAAAACTGAGTGAATTTACCGTCTGTTATTGTCAGTAAAACATTATAGTACCTCGAATGACATCTGTCAGTGTCCTCTCTGTGTATGAAGGAGCTGCCTGAGCCCCGCTTTTGCCTCCAACATGGAGAGCTGATAATATGACAGAGGTAGCGCAGTCCACAAAATATTGGTGACGTTAATTTTTATGTAAACAATGGTCATTGTATTTGTGTCACCAAAAATTAGTCAGGTCCACAGAATTTGGCATTGAGTCAAACACACAAACTCACTCTTCATTTAAATATTCAAAGCATCAAGGGGAAAATGACAAGTCAAAGTAGCTTTGCAGTGTTATGGATTACTTTTTGTGATCAGCCAAATGTGAGACCTCCTATGAACAGTGTCAACCAGCCCCCTGACAAAACACCCGTATCATGAGCCTCTTTCGCACTGGGTATTTCTAGGAACGAGCCGCCAGAATGGTTCTCCGAGAACTAAGTGTTCCCATAGGGCCATTTTCCTGGTTGTAGGATTTCTGAAGTGACGTAAAGGCAAGTTCACACTACATGATTGTAAAACGTCGGGCTGGACTGTGCGGTTCACACTACATGACTTGCTCTCAGTGAAATCGGGAGTGTTCAAGTTGTTTAGCCGTTCACACGACACAACGTGATTGATCCACAACAGGAGGTAACTCATTATTCGAGTTGAAAACGCACTACATAGAGATACAACCACGATCGGATGATAAGAGCAAATCATTTGTGACTCTAATGAGAGCTGTTTCAGTACTATGGTACGGTCTAAATTAGGGCTGAACGATTAATTGCATTTGCGATAAAATCGCGATATGATGAAACGCGATTTTGTAATCGCAAGAGCTGCGATTATACTGGTCACGTGACACGCGAGAGAAAAGCAGTCTGCAAGATAAAGCATCAACTTGCCACGCTACGCGGTCTGGCGTCCAGAAAAGAACAGTTTATTGTGTTATTTATTCTCTCCTCAACAATCCTGGATCGATTCAGAGAATTTCAGAATCGAGTCTGAGCTTAGTTTTTAAACACAGATGCGTGATGACGCTGCGCGTGCTTTAGAAACGAACCGCGTTCTGAATCTGCTTGCTTCTATTTTCTCGCTCTCTCTCTTCCTCACTCACTCACACGACACCGCTCGAACCTTCCAAAACATAGTAACGTTATTTCATAAAGTTCGGGATTGAACCGAATTACAAGGACATTCGCGGGCTTCATTGAACAGGTTTTGCCGCTTTGCTTGATGTTATAACGTTACTCTTGCAGTGCGCGTTCTCTCCCGCGGGGATTTTCTTTACAAATGCTTCACAGAGGCATTATTTATGTCTTTTGGAATGCAGTTGGCTTATAGCCTATATTAAAACCATGAAAATCACTGAGAAGGCTGCTTTCATTTTAAAATACTAACGCGTGCTTTGTGAAGAGCGCTCGTGCATGCGGCCGTGAGCGACTCATTGGTAAATGTACTTGCATGTCAAAATGCTTTTATGACGCGAACTTAATGTAAACACGGTCAGTTATATCTTAAACCAACAGGACAAACCACATTTACAATTTGAAAAGAGATATATGCATTAGTGTGAATGCAGCTTATCGTATCTAAACTGACGGGAAATCACTCCAGCTCTTGAATGAAAAACATTCAGACAGCCTACTTTTAAATACAGAGACCACTCTTTCTTTATTGCTTGTAATGTTTTTTTTTGTTTCTCTTTATTTACTAGCTTTTATATTTTGAAGCTATATTATTTTATATAGCCTATTTAAAATTCTTAACATGTAATTGCTTTAATTAAATGTTTTTTTTTATATTTATTTTTTAAAGTATGTGTTTTTACACATGCAATTAAATACATATTTTAAGAGTTATTAAGATTAATTAATAAGAAAAAAAGTAGATCGAATCATGAGCTATCTAAAGATTCCCATCCATACTATACAATTATTTATTGCTTGTCTTTGTCGACTAATACAGAAGGTAAATAACTTTTTTTTTTTAAATCGCAATCGCAATATTGGCTAAAAAAATCGCAATTAGATTATTTTCCAAAATCGTTCAGCCCTAAAATCCTGAAAATAAGTTGACAACAACTCTGTCACCCAACGATTCTATCTTGTCTACAAACCACGCAATGATTTGCTCTGAGAAAAAAATGCAAAAAAAGAAAAAATAAGATTTACCCTGTGACCTCAACCCATGCCTTGCTGTGATTGGCTGTAGCTCATGATATCAATGAGGTTGAAGTCGTGTGATAGCTCTGGATATCTAGCATGCTAGATTTTTTTCTGGGCTCTGTGACGCGTCTGTGAGCGTCTTCGCTGCGTTGTTGGCTCTTTCATACTAACAGATTGGCAAGCATTCACAGGGCTCCAGACTAACTTTTTTTACTAGGAGCGCTGTTGCCCCTGACTGAAAATTTTAGGAGCGCAAGCAGAAAATTTAGGGGCACACCTTAAATCAGCTTGCAATGCAATTATTCTAATTTCCCCCAAAATAACTGTAATACTGACATTCTTTAATAATAAATACACTTAACATTATGATATGCTGTTTTATTTTAAATTCACAGGGCTCCAGACCCAAATTTGAAAGCAGCACCTCCTCAAATGAGAACTCACACCAAGTTCTATAAAATAAAAAATAAAAAATGAATCTGGTAGCACTGGGGCTGATAATAAATCACTAAGCTTAATTTAGAGTGTAGTCGATGAAATTAACTTTAGTTATTATTATCATTCATAATGTGTTAATATAAATTTTTAAAAAAGTAGTGAAACATGTATATGGATTGAAAAGAGCCAATAAACATGAATATTTTTCATATTCAATACATTTACAATGGTATTATTATTATTTTTTTAAATAAATGTTTAAATAAGAGTTTTCCAACATCTCAAAATTTTCGTTTTAGGACATAAAAAATATAAAAAATACAAAAAAATAAATCTTTTATATATGATATTATAGTATTGAAGTGCTGGGAAAAGATGTGTAGTAGGCTACTTGTAAGTTTGACTATTTCTTCCACATTATCATATTTATGGTTGGTTAAGTTACTACATTAGCCTAAATCTAATGGTAAATGTTGCTGATCTGTGGACTGAAAGCCTTCTATAAGTGTTTCTCCTGGTTTCCACGTCAGCGCTGTTTGATCTGATATCTATGGTTTATAACGGAGTGTTTCTCACTGGATCTCGTAGTGAGGATGTTATTAATTCTGAGGCGAATTCAATTGATTTCTTCGCTGGATCTCCTTGTAACAGTGTTGCGTGATCGAGATCGGCCCGCGACTGGCAAGTTTGGGGCTTTATTTTACTGTCAGAGGTTCGGGTCGCTGCTGCTGCTCCACGGTCGTAATTTAGGCCAGCCCGTTCTCATCCTTTAACGTCATATAGAACGCTATATGCAAAAACGGTGCTATACTACGCACATGCCACCCTTTATCGTTAATATAACACGCGAACCCAAGACGTCATAAATCCTTCAGCGTGAATATGACACGCACACCCTACACCACGCCTAAACTTAGCCCTCACAGCGCGTGTTATATTAACGATAACTAGGGTTGGGTATCGTTTGAATTTGAACAATTCTGATTCCTTGTTTCGATTCCGGTTCCTAACGATTCTCGATTTCGTTTCTTTTAAGAGGCAGGGTCAAAAAAGTTTAGCTAACCTTGCTAACCAACGGTCTTTCTGAAGGAAATACTCCTTCTGTCACAAATACTTGTCACAAATTTTGCATTTTGCCGAGATTTCGTTTATTTTTAGAAAAGTGAAGCCACACTTTGGACCGCCGGCGTAAGCTACTCATGTTTAACTCGCGCGGTTATGCCAACACTTCCGGTAGACGCTTCTTCGTTGGTGTTGTTTAGCGGTTTCTTCTTCCGCTCGGCGGACTTTGAATATCGAAACTAGGAATTGAAATTTTAACTTTTGAACGGTTCCGGGGAAAACGAAAAGTTAGTCTCGGTTCCAATCGATACTCGATTCTCGATACCCAACCCTAACGATAACGGGTGCCATGTGCGTAGTATAGCGCCGTTTTTGCATATAGCGTTCTATATGACGTTAAAGGATGAGAATGCGTTGTGTAGGCCTATGAGTAGCGTATTTACGTTCCACTTTCATTTTGTTTGCATTCGCTGCTAGGTAACGACTAACGAGTCGATCGATAGATCGCTTGTTGCTCAGACGCACATTACTACTTCACTTTGCTGAAATGAAAATAGCGGAAGTAGGACGTCTGACGTAGTCAGGCTAGACGCACATAGCAGGTTGTGATATTTGTCTCCGTCTCCTTCCCACTGACGTTTACACGCGCTATTCTTGTCACGGATTCATTGACGCGCCGCTTCCACGCTTAACCATGCGTTTAACGTGTGGCAAATTTAGTGATCGCACATGTGCGACTGGATATAAAATTCAGTCGCACACTCTCAAATTTTGGTCGCAAAATGCGACCATTTGGTCGCAGTCTGGAGCCCTGGTTCATCGTCCACTAATTTCCCCCCGATTTGCACACGATAACACCCTGACCTGTCGGCGAGCTCAACGATTTGCAAATCAGGCTTAAAATCCTGTAGTGTGAACTTGACTTAAGCCGCGCTTATGACTTTTATTTTGACTGCGCTGTGTTCCCATTCTCGGTCAACCACTAGTTTAATTGACTGACTTTAGTATAACTAACACACAGGGACGGTAACCTCTGTACCTTTCATACTCATAGGCTGAGTGTCTGTACATCGCCCTTAGGCAGCATGAAGTGCAGCGAGATAGCAGGGGAGAGGTCAGGCTAGGGGATAAACACAAACAGCATTAGACGTGTCTTAATGTACACATGACTCTAGGTCAGTGTTTTTTGCTTGGTTGTAACGTTACGGTGATCTTGTAGAGTTCTGCACACTCCTCTCTCTGTGTGTGTGTGCAGGTCTGGTTGTTTTTCCTGCTCGTGGTTTTTGTTGCCATAGAAACTCCATCTTTGGCCTCATTTAGGATGTGACCTCTGCTCTGAATGAGGGGAACAGGAGTGAATGGATTGGAGAAGAGAAACAGAAATTTCCTTATCTGTGTTTCTTTCTTTCGTTGCATTGTACATCAGAAATGCCAAGTTATCCCGTATTTGATGGCATTTAGTATCACTGAGACACTATTACAGTTTTTGTTTTATTTCTTTTTATTGTTGTAGTTTAATATTTAGTTTTCTGTTTTGGTAATTTTGTGTCTGTCATTTTTTTCAGTTATTGTTTTTTTTTTTTTTAAATCTAGTTTTTGTTAGTGCTAAGCATATTGGAAAACTGTTGCGATATATTTTGTTTTTCCACACGATATGTATTCTGATAGGGCTGGGTATCGATTCACATTTCAATTTCGATTCGATTTCGATTCGCAAGCTCTCAGTTCGATTCGATTCTCGATTCGATTTTCGATTCTCGATTCCTGATTTGATTCTTGATTCAACTATAATGAAGATGTAATAAAAATCCTATATTTATAATTTATAAAAAAGAACAGTGGACATAAGTTTACTAGTGGTTAATTAATACAAGAAAATTAAGAGCCATAAACCTGTATATAAAACTCTTTTTATTTTAGGTACACTAAATGCATACAAAGATTTTGATGCAATATGCAAAAAAGAGTCGCACAGTCGCACAGAACAGTTGCACAGCTTGATCAAACAGTATCATGTTATTTTATGTTTAAGATAGATAAATATATAAATATTTAGACATTTTTTACATTGATCTTACCTAAATGTTAATGTATTTTTTTTGTTAAGAGTTTATGTATGGATGCTTGATTTCAATCTTTGAATTAAATTGAAAAAAGTAGCACAAATAAATACAATAGAATAAAGACAAAAATTAAGAGACATTTTGGGGTAGTTTTTTGGGTATGTCAGAAATACTACAGAAAATGACTAAAGTAATCCAATGTAAAATAACACTGGATAGTCTTTTTAGTCCAGACTGAATTAAATACAAAGGCTATTAATTCTGATTGCTTACAATTAATACTATATTCTGTTGTTATGACAACAGAATTAATGACTGACACAAATGGCTGCGTTCACTTTAAGAACTAGTGCGCGAATCCATTACTGTTTCATAAACTTTCTGTCACACACGTTTAATGCTAATTTAAGACATTACCGACTGTCTTTACGAGGTTACTCACCAAGACCAGAGTTTTGACATAATGTCGCGTGTTTTAACTGTTAAAGTGATATAATCCAGGGATAAAACTTTTGTTTCTGGCGAGCTGTTTGTGAGGCAGATTTAGGCTGTAACGTTACTGTGCACGCAGTGAGACATCTCTGAGAGTGCGCGAGCACGGGATAGTTTAACATTGCTTGTAAAACTTAAAAAGACGTGAAAATGATAAATGTTAGTTACGATCATAGGTTACGATGCAATGCTGGCCCGATTGTTAAGTGAATATTCTGTCATGTCCCGACTCCTAAACGCGTGTGTGTATCGACAGCTGCAGCGCTTAGCGCTTGCCTAGTGCAGAGAGACGAGAAGATGCAGCACCGCGTCCGCGAGCCCTTTATATGGAAAAAAATCGATTCGTGGCCGTTGAGAATCGATTTTGAATCGACCACATTTTAAAAAACGATTAATCGAAAAATCGATTTTTTTGCCCAGCCCTATTTTCCGATATGAATGTTCAGGAATTTTCACCAGATGACAATCTGTGTTTGGAAAGACTGAATTATTCTAGTGTGAGGGTTGATTTTCTTGAGGAGTGCACAAGAACAAAGCTGAAACATTACTTTTTTTTACTCGAAGATGTTTTAAACAGAAAAATCCTTTTAGGGCTGAATTATTTAGGAAAAGCTCTTTCTTTAAGTTATAAATAAAATAAAGATAACTGGAAACACTGCAACTAAACCCAAAGAATTCACAAGATTTCTAAAAAGAACTTTACTGTACTATTCTCTTTACAATGGTATGTAATATGACAGTCCCAATCATGGTAATTAACGTTGTGCATTGCTGTTTGAGCTGCATGCGCTGGAGGTGATCACTGAAGTGCTTTGCCACCGCGCTATTAACTTAACCTAACGCATTCTATATGACACACCAAACATTTATACATTAGTGCTGTCAAACGATTAAAATATTTAATCTCGATTTATCACATTAATGTCGTAGTTAACTCCCGATTAATCGCACGTTTTTATCTATTATAAAAGTCACTTTTTCTTTTTGTCCCATTATTTTTTCCCCCTCATTTTAATGCTCTCATCAACATGGAAAAGTGTATCGGCTTGCTTTGTGCAATTTTTTTTTTTTTCATTGAAAACAACATTGCCATATACTGTAGTGTTCAATTTCACACTAACATTCTCACTTGGAGCAAATAATCTCTCACACAATGTAACACTGTCCATCAATAAAGGGTGAAAGAAATACTGACGAGGTCCTGATATTGATGAGGGGCGGAGAATTCGCATCATCTGTGTGTGTGTGTGTGTGTGTGTTTGCTTGGCCATCATCAAGTGGTGTTTCAGACTGGACGTGCTGCGATGATGATCGCTCAGTTCACAACGATAAAACACACACAGATCACTTGGTCTTGTTAATGGGACAATTTGGCAACTTTTTAAAAGTAAACTTTCCATTCAGAATCATAGGGCATCCATTTCGGCGTCTCGCACTCGCCATCCACTCAAAACGTAACGTTACTATTTGGCCGTCTCGCAAGCCGAAACGAGTGTGTGCGGCACAAAACGTCCTCGCGCTTCACTCTGAAACACATTCATTTCAATGGCTTGCGCCGTGCAAGGACGTTTTGTTGCTTCTTCGACCAAAGCGCCAGCGTATGTAGACCGTAAACAAAACCAACGGCTTTGTGTGGATGACGAGCGCGAGACGCCAAAATGGATCAGGACGCATGCCGTGTCCTGTTGCAAAAGCATGTGAAAAAACTACAAAGTTTGCTAGGACAAAAAGACCGTTAATCGCGCGATAAAAAAATGAACGCCGTTAAAATGGGTTTGCGTTAACAAGTAATGCAACTATTCGGTATAACATGCAGAATTTTAATTTTGGAGTGAACTATACCTATACCAGATTTAAAAACATATTGCATTCGAATATTCAGGCTCATAAAAATCTAATATTCGTTCATTTAAATGCCGTTTAACGAAAAAGACCATTTCTGATCAATCTTACGATTAGGCAATATACACAACAAGCTTACAATATAAATACAAGAAACTTGTCAACTTGCTCCACATGGCCTCCCAGTGCATTTAATTAACGGCGAGTTTGTGCTTGGGGTGCCACATCTTTGAATGCACTATCAGAGCAAAAGGTGTCTTTCGTAATGAGTGATTTAAATTTAATTTCTGGAAGGCATCAGGGAAGCTGCAGCCGATTTGATCGTGCGTATCCGTGGATGAGAGTTGGAGGTGGTGAAAGAGTGCTGTACTGCTGTTAAATGTGTGAAGACTTCAAACAAGTCACTCATCTCTGTCTGTCTCTCTCTGTCTATCTACAGCAGTGACCCTCGTACCGTGTGATCAGCGTAGCCTGCGCCTGAGCTGGTGACTTCTCTCTGGACCGCGTGAAGGCAGCTCTTCTGCTGAGTGCTCTCAGTGAAGATGTTTGCGCTCAGATAAGAGACTCTTCGAACGAGAGACGAAAAATGTGAGTCAATAACCTGACAGCTTCTTCCATTCAGTCCCGTCATAATTCCTGCCGGCTAATAAAAGCTTAATCTCCAAATAATGTCTGCCAAATAGGCTAACAGCTTTATAAAACGTGGAGTTTGTGTACGTTAGATCATGATCACGTCTCTGTAGTCTGAATGCTTTTATTACATTTTTCACAGCAAAAATATTTACTTTGTGAGGCAGTACTGCAAAACATGGTGATTTGGTGTCTCGCAGGGTTGACACCACGTCACAACAAAAATGTAATGTATTAAATCAGTTAGGGCTGGGTAAAAAATATCCATTTCTCGATTTTAATTGATTCTCATTTTTATGAACCGATATCGATTCTAAAATCCCAAGAATCGATTAGTCATCCTGTTTCATCCCACATCCCATCCAATAAATCGCAAATTGTATAAATTGTTACTATTGATATGAAACAATGTCTCAATTTCAAACTGCGATTTTCTTACGAAATTCATAAATACTATTTTTGGCTCAAGAGAAGCAGCAGCACATGATCTTCTCTTCTGCTTTAATATCAGTAACAGTGTGAAATACACATGAATGAGCATCTGAAAGTGTGTTAAAAGAGAGTACAACTTATCGAGATCCGTATCATGTCACATGGAATCGCTCTATCAGTGTTTAGAAAGACGTCGGTAAAACAGCGTCATGTAACGTCACGTTTACCTCAGAAAAACCATATCCAGTGATCATAAACTCGTTAGTCAGCTATATGGGGTATTGCAGAACATGCATGAAGTTGGATCTTCACCTTTCAGCAGAAAGGACTTAAATGTTGATTCATCAGCAGTCAGAAACAAACTAATGAGATGTTATGTCTTAATGTGATGACAGCCAAATAAATGCATGCACAAAATATAATAATAAAAACAAGTCTCTTAACTAATGCTGTAAACTATGCGAGTCAGTTGTAGCTTATAGACTTCATTAGCCTGCTTGAAGGTAAAAATGAACTGATTTCTATACAAACACTTAAATTACACTTACAGGGCTCCAGACTGCGACCAAATAGTCGCATTTTGCGACCAAAATTTGAGAGTGTGCGACTGAATTTTACATCCAGTCGCACATGTGCGACCGGTAAATTTGCCACACGTTAAACGCATGGTAAGCGTGGAAGGGACGCGTCAATGAATCCGTGACAAGAATAGCGCGAATAAACGTCTGTGATGGAGACAAATATCACAACCTGCAATGTGCGTCTGAGCAATAAGCGATCTATCGACACGTTACCTAGCAGCGAATACAAACAAAATGAAAGTGGAACTAAAATACGCAACTCACGGACGGACCGTTAGCGTTTTGATTAGTTTGGACATAATAGACAGAGCTGTCAGAGCAGCGCATAGTGGAGCCCCCCCGAACCACCGACAGTAATAAAGCCCCGAACTTGCCAGTCGCGGGCGATCTCATTCACGCGACACTGTTACTAGCAGATCCAGTGAATAAATCCATTGAATTCACCTCAGAATTAATAACATCATCGCTACAAGATCCAGTGAGAAACATTCCGATTCGGCGCAGAGTTCTGTTATAAACCATAGATATCAGATCAAACAGCGCTGACGTGGAAACCAGGAGAAAGACTTACAGAAGGCTTTCAGTTCACAAAACAGCAACATTCTCCATGAATTTAGGGTAATGTAGTAAGTTAACTCTAACCATAAATATGATGTCAAACGCTTACAACGTAGCCTACACATCTTTGTCCTGCTCTTCAAAGCGATAATATCATATATAAATGTTTTATTTTTTGTATTTTTTTTGTGATGATCAACACATTTTTTGTTCATTCTTCAAAGATTGTCCTAAAACAAAAATTTTTAAGATGTTGGAAAACTCTTATTTAAAGATTAAAATTATTATTATTATTATTTTAAAAAAAAACAAAAAAACATTGTAAACAGTAAGATGTTTATTGGCTATTTTTACTCCAAGTCCTTATATACATACATGTTTTCTCTCCTTTTGTTTTTAATTAATATTAAGACATTATAAGTGATAATAACTAAATTAATCTAAGTTATTTATTGTCAGCCCAGTGCTACCAGTTTTTTTTTTTTTTTTTTTTGTATAACTCGAGTTCTGATTTGAGGTGGTGCTGATTTCAAATTTGAGTCTGGAGCCCTGTGAACTTAAAATAAAACAGCATATCATAATGTTAAGTCTATTTATTATTAAAGAATTTGTCAGTATTACAGTTATGTTGGGGTAAATTTGAATAATTGCATTGCAAGCTTATTTAAGGTGTGCCCCTAAATTTTCTGCCTGTGCTCCTAAAATTTTCAGTCAGGGGCAACAGCGCTCCTAGTAAAAAAAGTTAGTCTGGAGCCCTGACTTAAATATTTTTATTATAATGAAGTTAATGAAATATAAACATTTAAATGGTGGCTGTCATAAAACTTGCCAGATTTATTCAAACAATATGCATTAAATTTTGAAGAACATTAAAAACTATAATGAATATATAATATGGTGCATATATTTAGCAAGATGCTCCTCTCTAGAGTTAATTTTTCTAGCGGACTAATGAGTTTACGGTTTTTCTGAGGTAAATGTGACGTTACATGACTTTTTTACTTGCGTCTTTCCACGGTTGAAACACGGAGCAATGTCTCTGTCTCTCAAAATGGGTTGGACAAGGCTCGCGTCGAAACTTCATTCTCGTGTTTAGGAGTCGGGACATGAAGGAATTGTCACTTGCACAATCGGGCCAGCATTGCATCATAACTAAAGTTCATCTTTTTCACTTATTTTTAAGTCCTATCAGTTTAATCATTCAAGCTGAGAGAGTTTATGGTATTGGGAGGGGCGGATTCAGAACACAAGACAAAATAAGACACTGGTTTTACTCGATTGTGCTTTTTTGGTAATAATTGGGAGCCGAAATCAAAATTCAATTAATTGCACAGCCCTTCATTCGTCAACTGAAAACAGGATGACTAATCGATTCTTGGGATTTAAGAATCGATATCATTTATAAAAATGATAATCGATTAAAATAGAGAAATCTATGTTTTTTTTTTACCCAGCCCATGTGTAAATAATACAATATACATATAATAATTTATTTTTGGTATTTTTTTCAAGACTTGTATGTGTTGTAGCTGTTGACGCACCGAACCACGTGAAGTTCTACATCCCCACTGTATTTTTAGAACAATACATTTTCTTATATAATATCAAGAAACTTTTCCCAAAGCTTTCGTGTTTCTAGCTGTGTCTCGCTCCTGCCCCGCTGCGCATATTTCTGAGGAATCCCAACTTTAGAAACGAGTTGCAGAAGCTTATTTTTAACCGTGTCCCTGATCTTTTCAGGCTGAACTTAATCATTTGTGTTGCGCATTTCAGCGTGGATCTTTTTTGATGGGTCTTCTTACAGTTGCTTTAATAATAGACTATTTTAGAAGTTTAAAACTGTACTTTTAAATGTCAGTGAATTTGCAGGTTGGAGGAAATGCTCATCGCTGACAGTGTAAATCTTAAGGATCAGAGAGAGGGTGCAAAATGTTAAAAAACGTAAGTGGGGGAAAAATGAATGATTAATTTAAAAGCTACAGTGTGTTAGGACCAACACTTAAAGATCAATCTTTAAAACATCTCAATTTGTCCTCGCCCGACTCTTAATTTAGGACAGAAGAGAATAAATCTCTTCCTCAGTTTCTCAGTGTATAATGTGGATATGTTTGTTGAATGCACAGTTTCAGGACCTGCTGAACTGTTTCCATCTTTGCTAAAAATCCTTTGATTCCCCCCTCTTGTTTGGGAGGGTTTAGTCTGTTTGGTTTATGTATCCTCAGTTAACTAAAGTGCACTTTTAAATTGTATGGCAAATAAAAACAGTGTAGTTCCCAGTACAATATAGTAATCATGCTTGAACGGACGCTCATCCTGTTATTATCTTAGGCTGATGATCTATAGGTTAATGCCCAGTGAAAGTCTTAAACTATTGCATCTATGTGAACATTGATGTAATGGGAGATTGTGCTCTGGATGTGTGTGTCATAAAACCTCAAAAATTTAAGGTCGGTAAGATAACATATAAATATATATATAATTTTTTTAATCACATGGCAGTTGCTTCAATGCAGTTAGGGGTGTGGTCCTGGTCAAGACAAACTCTTGAACTCCAAACTGAATGTTAGAATAGGAAAGAAAGGTGATTTAAGACATTTTGAGCGTGGCATGGTTGTTGGTGTCTGAGTATTTCACAATCTGCTCAGTTACTGGGATTTTCACACACAACCATTTCTAGGGTTTACAAAGAATGGTGTGAAAAGGGAAAAACATCCAGTATGCGGCAGTCCTGTGGGCGAAAATGCCTTGTTGATGCGAGAGGTCAGAGGAGAATGGGCCGACTGATTCAAGCTGATCGAAGAGCAACTTTGACTGAAATAACCACTCGTTACAACCGAGGTATGCAGCAAAGCATTTGTGAAGCCACAACACGCTCAACCTTGAGGCGGATGGGCTACAACAGCAGAAGACCCCACCGGGTACCACTCATCTCCACTACAAATAGGAAAAAAGAGGCAATTCTCCAAAATTGGACAGTTGAAGACTGGAAAAATGTTGCCTGGTCTGATGAGTCTCGATTTCTGTTGAGACATTCAGATGGTAGAGTCAGAATTTGGCGTAAACAGAATGAGAACATGATCCATCATGCCTTGTTACCACTGTGCAGCTGGTGGTGGTGGTGTAATGGTGTGGGGGATGTTTTCTTGGCACACTTTAGGCCCCTTAGTGCCAATTGGGCATCGTTTAAATGCCACGGCCTACCTGAGCATTGTTTCTGACCATGTCCATCCCTTTATGGACACCATGTCCCCATCCTCTGATGGCTACTTCCAGCAGGATAATGCACCATGTCTCAAAGCTCGAATCATTTCAAATTGGTTTCTTGAACATGACAATGAGTTGACTGTACTAAAATGGCCCCCACAGTCACCAGATCTCAACCCAATAGAGCATCTTTGGGATGTGGTGGAACGGGAGCTTCGTGCCCTGG